CCATTTTTCCTGAGGCATGAAAAAGGTTTTCCGTGGAAAAATTGAAACACAATCAACACCCCACAGCCAAAACGGTAAAAGCTAGGAAACTGAAATTTGGGCTCAATTATTCTATCATGGTGTAGATGCACACTAAGAAGGGATTTTGGAAAATTCGAGCTCCAAAGGGGGGAAAAGTAGCTCCAAAGTTTGTTTGAAAATTCTGCATTTCTGAATCGATCAACTTTAAATTTGGTTTTTATAATCTATAAAATAATACAAACAAAACTGCATACTCGGTTTTTCGAAATTTTTGTTGGAGCTTGAATTATTGGGGTTTTAATATTTATTCATTTTTTCAAATGAAAAGTTTGTGTTATAAATTTTGTCCGATCGATTTCAAATTTGGGTAATATAATCTACGTAACTAAAATTACAACTTTGCATTTAACGATTTTTAAAATATGCATTTTACAAATGCAGGCAGAACAAACAATACAAAATATCAAACAGTTGGGGACAACTAAGTATACATACACACACACACACACAAACATACATACAAGCAGCTGTTCGTGTAGTTGCGTGCAAACGGTTGAAGTAGCCAAAGCAAAATGTGAGACACTAATGTGTGAATGTTCATTTGTACACATGTATGTACATACATACATACATATGTACAAAAGTACATTCGTCTTGCACTGACAGGGCAAGAAATGTTAATTAATTAAAAATTAATAAAATATAACATAAGCATTTAGACGTTATTTTTTCTTTGTTTAGTACATTTGGCATAAGGGGTTTTTAGGACAACGGACTACAAGGGCGTACGCAGGTTGGGCAGGGGGGACATTGCTCCCCCTAGAAAGCATTTCGCATTATGAATTACACCAGCACCATATGTATTACATACGTACATACATATATACATACGTCTGTATGTATAGTATGTACATATGTATGTACATCAATAAGTATGTATGTATGTACGTTCATACATTCTTATATACATATATAGGTTTGTATGTATGCAGTGGGCCATCGAACACTGTTGTTTAATTGTAAAAAATAGTGTTCTATGGTTTCAAATCAAAATGTTTAAAACAATAACAACAACTTCAAGTTATTGGCTCGCAAATCTTCTTTCGTTTTGATCATTTACGTCTGTTCATTGCATACGCAAAATGCCAAAAGTTTACAGTTACAGTACACATACAAATACATTTGTATGTATGTATGTGTACAGTGAACAATCGAATACAGTATTATAATCAATAACTCTCAAACGATGTTTTTCGATGTATTTGTATTCGACATGTATTACGATATATCAACACAAGTATCGATATTTTCGATATATCGCATTTAATTTTATTATTGGGGTTTTAATATTTATTCACTTTTTCAAATGAATAGCTTGTGTTATAAATTTTGTCCGATCGATTTCAAATTTGGGTATGTTGATTACATAACTATATCAACAAAGTGGCATTCAACGATTAAAATATAGCAATATGTTTTTTACTTGCCATATATCAAATATCAAATAGTTGGGGACATCACATACACACACTCACACATACATACAACAAGCAACAGTTCGTGTCTATGTGTGCCCATGCATACATACATATGTACATGCATATGTACATGCATATGTATGTATGCCTGTATATGTATGTAGCATGTACATACAAAACAACAACAACAACTGCAAGTCATTGGGTCGCTCTTCTTCTTTCGTTGTGACCATTTAATGTTAATTGCAAAAGCAAAACGCCAAAAGTTTACAGTTACCGTCGCTAGGCAACGACTGCGTAAGCGATAGTAAAGCAGAAACCGAATAACGGAGCTACGTATATTCTGATTCGCATTGCGGGCAGATGTATGTATGTATGTATATGATTTGTTATTATTGATCTCAATAAATAATTAGATTTTATTATTTAAATATTCTGCTTATTGCATTCAAACTTCGATATTTTGATGGTATCGGTGGCTTCAACTATCGAAAGTTTTACTCTAGCAAATTGAGATGAGAATTGTCAGTGCTTTTTGATCGTGGCTCATCGCTGCACGGCATTGACACGAGTGCCGTGTTTCATATTCCGAGTTTGTGCGTGACCGTATTGACTCAATATGACACGAAAAGACTCAAATGTGAATTTAAAATTAGGATATACCCTTATAATTATTCCCCTTTTTTGCACTAGACTATCTTAAAACGTTGCGTTATCTCTATATATAAAACAGTTTGTCCTGACTAATTGGTGATCAACGCACAGCCCAAACGGTAAAAGATGAAATTTGGACTCAAGTATCATTTCATAGTATCCATCATAGTGTAGGAGCACACTAAGAAAGGCTTTTGGAAAATTCTAGCTCCAAAGGGGGGAAAACGAGCTTTAAAAAATATTAGTTATAGTGGTCATGTTCGTTTAACGAAATAGTTTGGCAAGAACAAAAATGTAACGGACTACTGAACAATTTTTTGAAAAATGTTCATTTAAATAGCTTAAATGCCTTCCTACTGGTAAGTTATAAGGTGAAAACATATGGGTAGGTTATGCACACACAAAATAAATACAATTGGAAACATATTGAGCCGGGTTAAGACGGGCAATACCTGCTAGTTTTTCATATTCCTTTTATTTGTAATTATTTCTTTCTACCCATGAGATCTACTACAAGATTTTTATAAATTCCGCTTTTTATGTACATAATATTCCTGATATTTAATTATTTCACCATTATACATATTCTCAGTTTTGCACAATTAAAACAAGACAGGAATGCTAAAGTCGAGCGAGCTCAATTCTTAATTACCCTCTACCTCCCACCAAAAAGGAAAAAGGAAACAAAAAATGTTTTTCATTAATTTACAAAAATTATATTAATTAAATTATTTAATTAAATGAAAGACATGTTCATATACAGTTTCAACAGCATACATTTACATCACGTGTCTATGCGTGTTTATATGCGTGTATGTATGCAGCACAAAGTTGAACCAAAGCAGCAACAACAACAACAGCTGCTGTCAGCACTGCGGGCAGACGGACGGACAGACGGACATGGCTAGATCGACTCGGCTTATCATCCTGATCAATAATATATATACTTTGTGGGGTCTGCCACGCCTCTGCCTGTTACATTTTCAGCTCCCGCAAACCTAATATACTCTTGTACATTTTATGTACAGAGTATTAAAACAAGAAAGGAATGCTAAAGTCGAGCAAGCTCAACTCTTAAATACCCTGTACCTCCCACCAAAAAGGAAAAAAATGAAAAAATTTTTTTAATAATTAAAAAAAAATAATATTAATTTAATTATTTAATTAAATTAAAGACATGTTCATGTACAGTTTCAACAGCATACATTTACATCAGAGATGTACACGCAGACATCTCTGCTTGTGTATATGCGTGTATGTATGCAGCACAAAGTTGAACCCAATCAGCAACAACAAAAACAGCTGCGGGCAGCGCTGCCGGCAGCGCTACAAGCAGAGCGTGGGCAGCGATGTTATTTATGGCTATAACTTCCTTCAACATTGAGCTATCATGATGAAACTTGGCATACGGACACATAATCCCAAGTTGGATGTAATTACCAAAATTGAATTCGAAATTCCAAGAACTACGGGAGTTACGCAAATCACTAATAGCGGGGGAGTGGGGGTATATCGGAATAAAAAAACAAACTTCACCTGCCTAGGTCTTGGGGGAACCTGGATACCAAGTTTGGTAATTCTAGCTCTTGTACCTTCTGAGATCCTTGCGCTCATACAGACGGACGGACATGGCTATATCGACTCGGCTTGTCACCCTGATCAAGAATATATATACTTTGTGGGGTCTGCCACGCCTCCTTCTGCCTGTTACATACATTCGCACAAAACTAGTATACCCTTTCACCCTTTGGGTACAGGGTATAAAAATTATTTAAAAAAATTTAATTTATTAATTAAATTAAATATAAAATATTCCATGCATGCATACATACATTTACATTTACTATACATCAGAATCGTGTCTATTCGTGTTGGTGTACTTGTACATATGTATGTATGTATGTGTGCATTGGACCTGGTTATATGGCTATAACTTTCTTTCTAATAACCCTATCATAATGAAACTATGATAGACCGATTTAACAAGAAGTTATAGCCATAAATATATTTGCTGCTGCAGCGCTGCTCAAGCGCTGCCCGCGACTGTTGTTGATGCTGGTGCTTTGGTTGACTGCACACATGTTTACACAGACACGAATAGATGCGCATAGGCATTCATACACTCACACAGACGCAATTGCTATGTAAATGTGCAATTATACTCCATTTACGTAAGTTCGAATACCGGGAAAGGTAAAATCGATCAAAATTTGTTTTTTTTTTTAAGTTTCTTAATTTTTTTTATTTTCTATAATTATTGTAAACATATGTACAGAGTATTTCAAAGTCGGGACACCCGACTTTAGCTTTTTTACTTGTTTTTATTTTCGATAATTATTGTAAACATATGTACAGAGTATTTCATAGTCGGGACATCCGACTTTAGCTTTTATACTTGTTAGTTATTATTTATTTGACATTGCCGCATCTCATTATTTGTTAGTACTTTGTTCACTTATTTTAGAACTATTTTGACAAATAATGACAATAGACGAATGGACTTAGACATGTCCATCTGTCTTGATGAACGCCTGGATTTCGGAAACGGTTGAGTGCATATTAACCAAACTTGGTATATAGACGCCTCATAGGACTACAAGAGTTTTTTTTTACACTCTGTACATGAAATGTACAAGAGTACATATATATATATGTTAGTTATTATTTATTTGACATTGCCGCATCTCATAGTAATGGACATGTGTCTGTTGTACTGTATGTATAATGTACTGTAATTCCTCTTAACTGAACTGAAAGAAATGTTAATTAAAATGTTTCTAAATTCTATACAACTATAGCACTAAGGTTTGTAGATTCATAACTGATTAAATGCTTTGATTTACTTACTTGCGAATCTTGGATCATTGGCCGTTGACCCATACCATGACGCTGAGCTTCTCATATCGGTATAGTGTCCAGCCAACGACAAATTATCTGTTGGGCCACAATAGCTTTGTACTCCAGGACTGTGATATAACGAACCCATGGCATATGGATTTGCCATAGTTGAAGTACTGAGGGTGCCTGGCGAATTGATACTGCTGCCACTTGAGTTAGATCTAAGAAGAATAAATCGAAAGTATAACTACTTGTACAATCGAAAATTGTCATGTTAAATTTAACCCCAGAAGAAACACGAAAAATTGTTATACTCTGTACATGCAATGTACAAGAGTTTTATTTCCTCCCCCAAGTTATAGCCATATATGTATATATGACCAAGCAGTACCCGCAGCTGCTGTTGTTGTTAATGCTTTGCACAGGCACACACATACACGCATAATTATTCTACACATATGTACAGAGTATTTCAAAGTCGGGACAAAGTCGACTTTAGCTTTTTTACTTGAAATACTCTCTACATAAAATGTACAAGAGTATATTAGGTTTGCGGGAGCTGAAAATGTAACAGGCAGAAGGAGGCGTGGCAGACCCCACAAAGTGTATATATTCTTGATCAGCATGACGAGACGAGTCGATCTAGCCCTGTCTGTCTGTCTGTCCGTCTGTCCGTATGAACACCTGGATCTCAGAGACTATAAGAGCTAGAGACACCAAATTTTGTTATATGTGTACGCTGTGCAAGTTTGTTTTATTTTTTGATTTTCCCCCCACTTCCCCCCTATGGGGGTTTTCCCGATTTTCCATTCGTATAATCGCCTATATCTAAGAGACTATAAAATCTACGGACACCAAATTTTAGTCACAGATGCCTTATGAGAATACGCAGAAAATGTATATTTTGGAATTTCCCTCCCTCCCCCTCTCCCCCGCAAATCCCGTTTTCTCTAACTCCCGTAATTCTTGGAATTTCCAACTAAAATTTTGTAAATACCCCCAGTTAGTAATTATGTGTCCGTTTCCGCCAAGTTTCACTATGATAGACCGATTTAACAATAAGTTATAGCCATAAATATATTTGCTGCAGCAGCGCTGCTCAAGCGCTGCCCGCGGTTGTTGCTGATGTTGCTGTTTGGTTGACTGCTAACATGTTTACTCAGACACGAATATACGAGCATATACATACATACACTCACATAGACGCAATTGCTTTGTATATGTGCAATTATACACCCTTTACGTGAGTTCGAATACCAATAGAGGTAAAATCGATCAAATTTTTTTTTGTTTATTCTCTTACTTTTTTAATTTCTATAATTATTCTTAACATATGTACAGAGTATTTCAAAGTCGAGACACCCGACTTTAGCTTTTTTACTAGTTTAATCTAGGTTTGTGCAAAGTATGTAATGGGCAGAAGGAGGCATCTCCGACCCCAGCAACTATAAACATACGTGTATATTCTTAATCACAATCAATAGACGAATGGACTTAGACATGTCCATCTGTCTTGATGAACGCCTGGATTTCGGAAACGGTTGAGTGCATATTAACCAAACTTGGTATATAGACGCCTCAAAGGACTACAAGAGTTTTTTTTACACTCTGTACATGAAATGTACAAGAGTATATTAGGTTTGCGGGAGCTGAAAATGTAACAGGCAGAAGGAGGCGTGGCAGACCCCACAAAGTATATATATTCTTGATCAGCATGACGAGACGAGTCGATCTAGCCCTGTCTGTCTGTCCATATGAACACCTGGATCTCAGAGACTATAAGAGGTAGAGGCACCAAACCTTGCACAAAGATGCGCTATGTGTGTACGCTATGCAATTTTGTTTTATTTTTTTGATTTTCCCCCTGCTTCCCCCCTATGGGGGTTTTCCTGATTTCCCATTCGTATACACTCACATAGACACAATTGCTATGAAAATGTGCAATTATACACCCTTTACGTGAGTTAAAATACCAAGAGAGGTAAAATCGATCATATTTTCTTTTTAATTCTCTTAATTTTTTAATTTCTATAATTATTCTAAGCATATGTACAGAGTATTTCAAAGTCGGGACCCTCGACATACATATAATTTGATCGTAACAAAGGCAGCTGCCTTCTGCAAAAAATATACCAGAAAAGCGACAATTTACGGCGTGTTTATAAGCACGTCAATTACTGAATTGTAGCTGACCCCTCGCCTCTCCCCCCCTTTACCGAAAAGCTGGCTAGGCCGTTACGTGCATAAATTCAACCCCACATCCGCTCATCAGTAACTTAAAAACCCTCCACTCGATCATGTTCAAATGGCAATTAGGGTCTAGGCCGCAACTTCATTTGTATTGACTTTTTGCAACTACATGTAAGCATTAGCCGAAAACGTCCATTGTCGAAGGGATTATGCATTTTGCCACCATAACACTTTTGCTACGTCGCATCCCTCTCTCCGTAGTCCATGTGTAAGATGTCAATATTACCGATTCTTGAATGGATAATTTGGATGAAATTATTCAAATTTGATGGTATCGATATTATAAGACTGGCCTTTACTACTTCAAAGAGAGCCAACAATATTGTGTGCAAAAGAAATTGATCATCTGCTACCTAATGGCATGAGAATAATAATAAGTAATAAGAAGTAATATAATCAGAGCTAGCGAAACGTGTTTTTGCATTTTCATTAAAAGTCATACCTTTATAAAAAAAACATGATATATGCTTATAGCTAGTATATACATACGTGTACATATATTCAAATTGTGACTAGCATGTGTATATATTTATAATTTACTACCAGGTCTTGCCCGTCTTTGCTGGGCTAAGTAAAATGTGCTTATAATTATAAGTTTATTTACTATATGATTTTCTTCTTTCGACGCTCTCTAAAGTTTTTTAAAGAGTTCATTTCCCAAATAGCAAATATAGTACAATAAGTACTATGTATGGTTATACGTACATATGTACATACATATGTACATATCTTCGTTACACACCGGGCGGAATGCCAGCCCTGACTTAACTGTGTGCTTCCTCAGCACGTTGTACGCACGGTCGAGTTATCCCCGAAAAGTCCGACGCGGGACATTTATTTTTGATGTATAAATCGGGACGTCTCGCCAAAATTGGAGCGTTCGGCAACGCTGATATGTACATACATTTAAATTTTTCATGCAGGCGTTATCCGCCTATATACATACATACATACTATACATACATATATAAGTATGCATTAAATTTTTTAATTCAATACTAATTTGTGTCTTCAATTCCAAATATGATTGTTGTGAATGTAAAAGTTGTGTTTCTGCTTTTGTTAATCGCATGAATACACTCACAAAATAGGCTTAACGGTAAATGACTCTAAGATTAGTTCAGAATACATTTGTAGCGTTGTTAGCTAACACTAAAACGGTAAGTCGCTGTAAATATGCGATCAGCTTAGATGCTAGAGATTGGCATGTGCGGGTGCTCTATGTGCTAGAGCATCAAAACTATCCATAGTTGAATCCGTCGATACAATCAGTAATTCCATCGAAGTTTGAATGCAATTAACAGAAAATTTAAATAATAACATGTTATAATTTATTGAGATCAATTAGAACAAATCATATACAAACATACATATGTACATCTGCCCGCAACGCGGTTTCTGCTTTACTATCGCTTACGCAGTCGTTGCCTAGCGACGGTAACTGTAAACTTTTGGCATTTTGCCTTTGAAATTAACAGGCGTAAATGATTAAAACGAAAGAAGAAGCGCGAGCCAATGACTTGCAGTTGTTGTTGTTTTTCGTTTTAAAAATTTGACTTAAAACCATAGAACATTATTTATTGCAATCAAACACTTGTTGCAAGATTGTCCAATGTATACATACATACATATGTACTTGTATGTACATATGCATGCATGTTTCTCTTTACTTTTTCAACAGTACGTAGAGAGCCGCATACATAGACACGAACTGTTGCTTGCTCTGTGTGTGAGTGTGTGTATATGATGTTCCCAACTATTTGATATTTGCGTTCTTTGTAATTTGTTGTTGCTGCATAAAGTTACTAATGAAAACCCTAATGTGAAATGTACTAAACAAAGAAAAAATTACTTTTAAAACGTAAATAATTTTTTATTAATTAACATTTCTTGCTCTGTCAGTGCAAGACGAATGAACATACATACATACATAGATGTGTACATATGTGTACAACGAAAAGGTGAATAAATATTAAAACCCCAATAATTCAAGCTCCACCACAAATTTCGAAAATCCGAGTGTGCAGTTTTGTTTGTATTTGTTGATTGGTGGAAAACTGAAGAATTTTCAAACAAACTTTGGAGCTCGTTTTCCCCCCTTTGGAGCTCGAAATTTCCAAAATCCCTTCTTAGTGCGCACCTACACTATAATAGGATACTTGACCCCAAATTTGAGCTTTCTAGCTCTTACCGTTTGGGCTGTGGGTTGTTGACGCGGTTTCCTCTTGTGCCCCAACATTTTTTTTACAGGAAAACTCACACATTTCAGGCCCCAAGAAAAAACCAAGTATGCAGTTTTTCTTGGAATTTTTAGTGAAGTATACAAACTAAGTTTGAAGTTCATCAGATGTAAATTGTAGATTTTTCATACAAACTTTGGAGCTCGAATTTTCCAAAATCCCTTCTATCGCCAGCCTACATACTTGAGTCAAAATTTCAGCTTCCTAGCTTTTACCGTTTGGGCTGTGCGTTGATCACCAATCAGTCAGTCAGGACAAACTGTTTTATATATATAGATACTTGTTGTGTTCTCGTCAGTGAGCCGAATAGTTTAATACAATAAATTTTTTTAAATTCTATGGAGTATATTGAACCAAATATATCAGAACACAAGAGAATTTTTTAAATACCTAAAAATAGTATCTTATATCAAACTTTTAACACACACACTAAAAAGCATGTAAAAAAGCTAAAGTCGGGTGTCCCGACTTTGAAATACTCTGTACATATGTTTACAATAATTATAGAAAATAAAAAAAATGAAAAAAAAACAAGTAAAAAAGCTAAAGTCGGGTGTCCCAACTTTGAAATACTCTGTACATATGTTTAGAATAAATATAGAAATTAAAAAAAGTAAGAGAATAAAAACAAGAGAGAACGCTACAGTCGAGCAAGCCCGACAGTGTAATACCCTGTACCCAGGTAAACTGCCGTCACTGAGTTATATGAGCCCATAGCAGTAGCAAAAAGA